CAGTATTTTCTCCCCGGGGCTCTTGGGATGAGAGGAATGCATTGTGTGTGCAGAGGAACACCCTTTGTGACATTATTAATGTATTTATAGCTCCAGCCTCGGGGGTTAGCGTGGCGTCTGATCCCCTCTCTCTAATTGGGGTGACTTCTGAGTGACGTGTGTGTGTGTGTGTGTGTGTGTGTGTGTGTGTGTGTGTGTGTGTGTGTGTGTGTGTGTGTGTGTGTGTGTGTGTGTGTGTGTGTGTGTGTGTGTGTGTGTGTGTGTGTGTGTGTGTGTGTGTGGTGTGTGTGTGTGTGTGTGTGTGTGTGTGTGTGTGTGTGTGTGTGTGTGTGTGTGTGTGTGTGTGTGTGTGTGTGTGTGTGTGTGTGTGTGTGTGTGTGTGTGTGTGGTCTCAGGCTGCAGCTGATTAACTTCATGGTGGATTCACTCTCAGGTTTATCCTTTTATAGTGGGGTGGAAAGAATGACGGAAAGATGTGAAACATGTCCGTCCAAGTTCCTCTGTCTTTTTGCAAAGTCTTTAAATATAAGACGCTCCCTTTGATATGATATAAAAGACAGGAAAGCAGCAATTCTCTATAATTTAAAGGCTTAAAACTAAATGTTTAGCATGAATAATCGCTTCACATTTGAATTATTATCGCAAAATCTGTCCATTTGTCTTCTGTCGATTAAAGGTTGCAGGTTTAAGGTCATGCACTAAAGGAAAGACGTGAACATAATAAAGTAAAATGTCAAAAGGGATGATTTTAAATATTTAATTGTAGTGCAAACCTAAAGATTATCACTTAATTATGATAAAACAAAGACAAGATCAATATTTGAGCGGCTAAAAAACTGCATTTTCTGACATTTCTGCATGAAAAACGACCGATTATCCAAAAAAAATGTGTTGATACTTCATCGACTAATGGATGTGTGTGTGTGTGGTGTGTGTGTGTGTGGTGTGTGTGTGTGTGTGGTGTGTGTGTGTGTGTGTGTGGTGTGTGTGTGTGTGTGTGTGTGTGTGTGTGTGATATGTGTGTGTGTGTGTGATATGTGTGTGTGTGTGTGTGTGTGTGTGTGTGTGTGTGTGTGTGTGTGTGTGTGTGTGTGTGTGTGTGTGTGTGTGTGTGTGGTGTGTGTGTGTGTGTGTGTGTGTGTGTGTGTGTGTGTGTGGGCGAGACTTTGTGGCGTTGTAACTTCTCGAAGGAGCTCATAAATCAGCCTCAACGTGTGACAGCAACAATAGCAGGAGGTTTGATGATAATGTCGTTAACATTCCTCTCTGGAGGTGTCTCTTCTCTCAGAGAGTGTGTGGACGTTATATCTTCTCAGTTTGATGGATCACTCGGAGATTGTCATGTTTTTATTTGATTGTATTTACTTGTTTAAAATGAAATTTGTTTTAGGTTGACTTACTAAATCTTTCCAGGGACTTCAGATGAAAAATATCTTCTTGTGAGGTTCACAGAGATGTTGATGAACTGTCCCTGTTAAATAAATGAATGAGGTGGCAGGTGTGACCTCTCCTATAGATTCCCTCCTTGGTTCCTCTGACCTCTGAATTCCTGCTGCTCTGGTGCCCAGGGCCCCCTTACCTTTGGTGGCCCAGTGCCCAGAAACAGGTCCCTTTTGTGGGGCTTATTAGACCGCCGGGCCGCCGGGTGAAGAGTTCAGAGTCGGCACAAAGAGGAGAGGAGACGAGAGGGCAGGAAGCAGTTCAGGGATTCAGAGACGCTCAAAACCAGGGATTGATTAAGTCCTCAGGCTGCAGGGTGTACTTACTGAGGAGGGGCGGTTAGAGTTTGTTTAGGACGAATAACGGCTAGTTCAAAGCGCAGTATTTGGTGTCTTCTGATGCACAATATGGATTATTTTCAGCTGGCACCAACAATACCCAGTCAGTATGCAAGGTGCAGATATTCCAGAAGTTTTAGGGCTTTTTTAAGCATTCTTTTTTAGATGATAATCGGGATTATATGCAATTATGTTTGATAGGATAGTGGTATCTTATTTTGCATCCTTTACACACTACTCTATAGTTCATCCCATCTTAAGTTCACAGTTCATTCTGCAGACAGGTGAACAGCGTCTCCCCCCTCCTCTTACTGAAGAGGACATTCACTATTTTCACAACATCCCTCAACACTTCCCAAACCACCTGAAACATACTCGACCAAACACAAAACATCCCGGCCTCTTCCTCGTCTCTTTCAGTCACTCTCCATCTCATTTCTTCATCTTCCACCATTTCATTCTGTTCAAAGCGTGCGACAGGAACCACATTTCACTTTTCCTCCCACAAAATCATCTTCAGGTTGATTTAGGATCCAAGTTTTAAGACAAATATACAGGATTTTTGACTTTTTCTGTACCCTTTTCCCCCTTTTGTAGTACGCCCGCCTACAACTACGCCCCCAACATGGACAAACACTGGATCATGCAGTACACCGGCCCCATGAGGCCGATCCACATGGAGTTCACCAACTTCCTGCACAGAAAGAGGCTGCAGACGCTCATGTCGGTGGACGACTCCGTGCAGAAGGTACGTGTTTTTATAAATGCACCGGCCAAACCGGAGAGTTTTCTGTCACAGTCTAGAGGGAACAAATCATCCACAACCATCATTCAGGAGTTTGTTTTACTAAGTTTGTGTCTCTCCTAAATCCACTGAAAGTTAACAATACATATCGCCTCATTTGCATGTTTAAATATAGCATCTCAGAAAACTTGTAATATAAAATATAATTGTGTTAATGTCAGTAATGAAGTGAGGGACTTTCATGGTGATATCTGTTAGTGACATTTCTTACCCTATCCACCATGTATGCATTTTTCAGGATTTTCTGTAGTTTCTCTAAAAGTCTTTCCCCGACCCTCCCTCGTGTTTCCTGTCAGGTGTTTGACATGCTGGAGGAAACTGGAGAGCTGGACAACACGTACGTCATCTACACGGCGGACCACGGATATCACATCGGGCAGTTTGGGTTGGTGAAGGGGAAGTCGATGCCGTACGACTTCGATATCCGAGTGCCGTTCTTCCTGAGAGGACCGAACATCGAGCAGGGCGCCGTGTAAGTCTGCGAAACAACGAGTCATTTTCACAGGGTTTAGTCTTGGAGGCATATATCTTATTAGAGTATCATGAATTACATCATTTTGCCCCATTTGATATTCCGTGCATTTACCAAAAATGTACTTTAATGCTATTTTAAAGCAGAGGAAGAGACCCAATCGCCTCTAATGAACGGCACTGGGCAGCCCATCTCTCTCTGTGTTGTTTCTTCGTTAATCCTGGTTCCTTGGATGTGCTTTTATGAATTTCCCAGCATGCATTTCATCCGTTCCCTCCCTGTCTGTGTGCAGGAACCCTCACATGGTGCTGAACATCGACCTGGCCCCCACCATCCTGCACATCGCCGGCCTCGACCCCCCCCGCCGACATGGATGGGAAATCCATCCTGAAACTGCTGGAGCAGGACCGGACTGGAAACAGGTCAGTTTGTTATCTGCTCCCTGTTTGTTTGTTTGTTTGTTTGTTTGTTTACCATGTAAAGCAGCCTTGGGTCTCTATAGTCAGAGAGAGTTTGATGTGTGTAGCAGCTCTGCCTTTCTGGAGTAAACTCACATGTAAGGCTATTGGGCCAACTCCACCAATCAGGAGGAGACAGCCACGGCCATTGCCGTTCTAAAGCGCTGGAGACGCTGTAGTACATATGCCAGGCCTGTAGGTGGCGCTGTTCTCACTGAATCTGCCCAGAGCTAGAAATTGTCAAATTGAGCGAAATGAGGCATGGCTAAAATGCATGATCTGTTTGGTATTTTGAAGAAAAAATATGCCTTATATAGGTATGGTCCTATACTATATTATTCAAATATAGCATGATAGGTCCACTTTAAGGTATTTTTAAAGCAAAATTGTCTCAAAAGTTGAGATTTTCTTTTGTTTTTCTCAGTTTTTTCTCATATTATATCAATATGTTTGGGTTTTGGACGAACACGAGACATTTGAACAGATCTCCTTGGACTTTGAGGAACTGGGATGGACATTTTTCGTTTTTACAAACGAAGAATGTATAAAATAATCTGCAGTTAATAATCAATATAATAGTTAGTTGCAACCTTACAAAGTAAAAAAAAGTAATATCACACCTACATATTTTTTTTGATGTGTCTGCAATGCTCACAACAGAGAGTCTCACTGGGAACGGTCCCAGTCCATCAGAGAGAACTGGGACAGTATATTTAATGCTTCAATATAATGACTATCCCCTCCTTGCTGTCACTCGGTGATTGCCAAGTCAGATGAGTTTCATAAACTTTGTGCCTTTTGTTTTCCCAGATTCAAAACCAACAAGAAACCCAAAGTCTGGAGGGACACATTCCTGGTGGAGCGAGGGTGAGATGTCCTTCTTTCTTTATCCCTTTTTCCTCACCGCAGACACATCCATGTCCCTGCAGAGTGTGTGTCCTGCAGAGTGTGTGTCCTGCAGAGTGTGTGTCCTGCAGAGTGTGTGCTTTACTTTCTACTTCTCACATGTTGAACACAAATACCTGTACTTTCTACTTCTTACATTTTGAACACAAATACCTGTACTTTCTACTTCTTACATGTTGAACACAAATACCTGTACTTTCTACTTCTTACATGTTGAACACAAATACCTGTACTTTCTACTTCTTACATGTTGAACCCAAATACCTGTACTTTCTACTTCTTACATGTTGAACACAAATACCTGTACTTTCTACTTCTTACATGTTGAACACAAATACCTGTACTTTCTACTTCTTACATGTTGAACACAAATACCTGTACTTTCTACTTCTTACATGTTGAACCCAAATACCTGTACTTTCTACTTCTCACATGTTGAACACAAATACCTGTACTTTCTACTTCTTACATGTTGAACACAAATACCTGTACTTTCTACTTCTTACATGTTGAACACAAATACCTGTACTTTCTACTTCTTACATGTTGAACACAAATACCTGTACTTTCTACTTCTTACATGTTGAACACACATACCTGTACTTTCTACTTCTTACATGTTGAACACAAATACCTGTACTTTCTACTTCTCACATTTCCCAAACAGGCTGGTTCCTTTAGTTTGAATGTGTGTTTGGTGGCGTGATCATTATTATTTAGAGTCATTGCGTGCCTATTGATTTGAACACGATCCGTGTATCCATCATTTCCTGGTCTTCTCTAAAGAAGAGGGACCAATGAAAACGTTGTCATGTTGCCGTTGTTCAGCATGGAAACATTCATTAGCTAACAATGACATTATTGTTCTATTAATATAAAGGGAGGTCAGGTACTCTTTAAAACAGCTGCTAGTTATGGGTACTTTTTACTGAAGTACATTTCAAAGCCTCTTTACTTTGACTTGAGTAAAGAAGTTTAGTCAGTACTTCTACTTTCACCAGAGTACTTTTTAAACACGAGTCTGTGTACTTCTACTTGAGTAAAGAAGTTTAGTCAGTACTTCTACTTTTACCAGAGTATTTTTAAACACGAGTATCTGTACTTCTACTTGAGTACAGGATGTGTGTACTTCTACTTGAGTACAGGATGTGTGTATCTCTGGTTGTGTGTCACACTATCCGAACACTTCGATGAACCCGGGGTGTGTGAACGCTCCTCGAGACGTTCGTTCTCCGCTTCCTGCCCACAGTCTGCAGGGACCAGGTTTTAATATTCACAAATGTTTAGTAGACGGCAGGCGACATTCGATGAAGAAAAACAAGCCCAGTCTTTGTCCTCTGCACGCGATCGGGGACGTAAACCTGACTTGTTAAACCGAGACAGACGGAAGAAAGCGAGACACGCAAAACAAACAAAGACAGGATGAAGTTACCTGAGGAATGAGAGGATCAGGATGCAGAGCTTCAACAAGACTGCTTTCTTTGTGGAAGACGCCATCACACACAGCCTGTCAGCTTTTAGTGTCACTTAGTGTCTCCATGTTGCAGAAAACAACACCTCTGCACGCTTTTGAGCTGTGGTCGTGCCAGGAGAGGAGAAGCTGCAAGTCTTTGCACGATAAAGCAGGTCCTTAAGTCTGGCTTTAGGTCTGAAGTACAAGGTGTAGTCCTTCAAACTAATGTTCTGCTGCTGCATTTGATCAAGAGGGTCCTAAGAAGTATTGAATCAGTTGAATGCATTGTTAACCTGGTTTTCTGAACAATAATTGATCTGACGCTGACCCCCTTCTTGCAGGAAGATCCTGAGGAAGAAGGAGGACTCGGTGACCCCGCAGAACACCAACAGCCTCCCGAAATACAAGAAGGTGATGGAGACGTGTCAGCAGGCAGAGTTTCAGACGCCCTGCCAGCAGCCAGGACAGGTACTAACACAAAACAATATTAGATCCTTCATCAAATGTAAGAAGACACATGCGTTGGCTTCAACTTATATTTCAATGCTTAACTTTAACTATGTATGTAAAGCAGTATTTTGTAACTTACTCGTCAAAGGGTCAAGTTAGACACTCAGTCCAGATTTATGTCTGCTACTATTGGATCCCTACTCGTGCATTATCATCTCACTTTCAGCTGCTCTTGTTCTTGATGAAACTATCAAACTGTAATGATCTGATGTTTTACAGACTGTACGTGGTTCATCCTTGTTTGTCATGCTTTGCTTTCTGTTATTTTGTTCATGTCTGTCTGTAAGACGTTGCTTATGTCGGCATCTCAAGGGGTTTCTCCTAATACATACATTTCTATCTCTATATAAACGCACCTCCCTGCACATGGAAACCCTTTACGCTGCATCCTAATTGGACCATTTGTGCATGAATCTGTTCCCTTTCATCTGCGCCCTTTAATGCGTCTGCAGCTCTCGGACCTGAACAATACAAATTGTTACAAGTCTCGGGTTAGCGTTAAATGACGGGAGCGCTAATGCAACCCAGATCCAGTTTATAGTCACATAAACGTGTGTGTGTGTGTGTGTGTGTGTGTGTGTGTGTGTGTGTGTGTGTGTGTGTGTGTGTGTGTGTGTGTGTGTGTGTGTGTGTGTGTGTGTGTGTGTGTGTGTGTGTGTGTGTGTGTGTGTGTGTGTGTGTGTGTGTGTGTGTGTGTGTGTGTGTGTGTGTGTCAATCGGTTATTGAAGGCAGCAGTGCGGCGCGGCACCTGTAATAGTGCTAACTTTGAACCATGTGTTCTTCTAACTGTACTTATTTAAACATCATGATATGTTTCTGCATACGTTCGGTTTAACATGACCTCCGTGTGTGTGTGTGTGTGTGTGTGTGTGTGTGTGTGTGTGTGTGTGTGTGTGTGTGTGTGTCAGCTTTACCTAAGTCACAGAATACACAAACTAACTAACAAATTGCATCAAAGTTAAACAAACAACTCCCAGATTCTGCAAAGTAAGAAAAGTGTTTTTGTCAATGGAGTGTGTTGGTTTGACAGAGTATGGACCTTCAGTTCACTTCAGACAGTCTTTTCTTGCAGCAGAAATATTCAAAACACATCAAATATGCACGAGTACTTCATACAACACTCCACTTGAACACATCTGTACTAACCCTTTGACCCCTCTGTCACATATAAACCAATATATGGTTATATAATATATCAATATATACATGAGAAACAAACATGTAACATCACAGCAGGATCAGTGAGAGCCGCTCAAAGAGCCTTCAGCGTGATCTGATCTGTTGCTCTGTGTTCACTGAGAGGACAGACTGGAGCACAGAGGATGCTTCATTCTGACGTTATATATATTATTATATCCTCTCTGCACGTGTGTCTCAACTCCAGAGCTACGCAGCGGCAGAAATTAGCCTCGCTCTCTCTTCCTGCTGCGAGTAAATATTGAGACTCGGAGGAAGTAGTGGAGTATTTACACAACGACTCAGATCAGAGTGAGCGTGATACGGGGTCTCCTCTTATATGTTCTTGACAGACGATGGGTGTCATGTTGGTTTATCTTTCCCACTGCTTTTGGACGCTGGTTTTCCCCACACGCTGAGATACCCCTGAACTATCCGTCTCTCACGGAGACTTTAAGTTTCTGCTGAGATTTAAGAAGCAATACGTTTTCTATCTTTATGAAGTACATTTCATGTTCTGTTTTCATGAGTTAAGCTGGTTTTACGGAGAGGGAAGCTGACATGTTCCTAACTCTTTAACCAAGGAAATATCTCCTGACTCTTATCCAATTAACGTAGCTAGCATTAGCCGCAAAAGTCACTAGGTGTTGTGCCAAACGTAATGGGGGAAAAAGTGATAAATCAGGGCTGAAGACTTTTCTTTTTGCTGCTGCCTTTTATTAAATCAAATAACTATCTATATGTTATATGAACTGGCTATTCATTCTTGCATTTAATTACCTCTCATGTATTTTGTCTGGTTTTAATGGTGTTTTATTGATTTCCTAATGAAGGAGAGAGAGAGAGCTTCATGATTTGTCTCCATGTTCTTGTTGTTTAATCCCCGCTGTATTTGTGTTTTGCAGAAGTGGCACTGTGTGGAGGAGATCTCTGGGAAGTGGAGGATCCAGAAGTGTAAAGGAGGGTCTAAGGAGGGCTCCAGGAAGAGGGTCCGCAGCCTGAAGCCCTCCTTCAGGGAGCCTGCCTGCGACTGTGGAGACGCTCTGATCAAATCCTCCAGACCTGAGCGCCGTGCACACCGTCAGCTGAGCGGACAGCGTGAGCACACACACACACACGCACACGCACACGCACACACACACACACACACACACACACACACACACACACACACACACACACACACACACACACACACACACACACAGAGTTGAACTCTAGTATTTTTTGCAGACGTTACTGCTTTGGTTTTATGAAGTGATGATGGTTTTGTAGGAATAGATTTGCAGAAGATCAAACCCTGACTTCCTGTGTCTGATTATTTAAGCTCCAAAGAGAGACACACATCCTGAAAATGCAAACATCCGGCTACAAGTCTGGCAATTTGTCCTTGTGGAGGCACATTTGTGGCGCAGTGGATAGAGCGTTGGTGTTGGGATCAGGGGGTCCCAGGTTCAAACCCCACTGCAGTCAGCATGTCGTTGTGTCCCTGAGACACTTCACCCCAAAGTGCTCCTGTGGGGATTGTCCACAGTATTGAGTATGTAAGTCGCTTTGGATAAAAGCGTCTAACAAGTAACATGTAATGTAAAAAATGTAATGTCCTGTGGATGTTCCTGTGAGTGCTGCTGGGAAAGTGGGATCAAAAGATCTGGCGCCCTCTAGTGTTGCTTAGAAATAATGCAGCTGAAATATGGAAATTGATGAAAATGCACGGCGTAAAATGTGGGCATAATAAGATAAGATAGGACTTTATTTATCCCGAAGGAAATTGTTGTGCTAGTCACAAAAATACAATAAACACAACAGCACAATAATAATAAAACTGTACACTAACAATAACTAATTAAATAACTACAGGAAACGTAGACGGTCACATCATTCATGTAAAAAACTGTACAGTGACGAGCAGTGCAACAAAAACATAGTGTCAGATCCGTAATTGCACGTTATTATAGAAATGTATTTATAATATTGCACATGTTATATCGCAGAGTGTGTTTCGTAATCATGGTCCTGGTATTTATATTGCACGTAGATAATACATATAATATAAATAATATATAAGTATAATAATATACTCATAAATCATGTCTTGACTGAATTTCCCTCCAGGTTTCCGGCCTCGTTTCGTTCACACGCGTCAGACTCGCTCTCTGTCGGTGGAGTTTGAAGGTCAAATCTATGACATTGACCTTCAGGCGGACGATCAGACAGCCGTGAGACGACGATCCATCTCCAAACGTCACTATGACAACGACCCCAATGACCCCGACGACCCCCACAACCTTGAAATGCTCCCAGGGTCAGACGGATCAGAGGAGATGCTCTCAGACGACACCAACGCTGTGGGGTACATGACCTCTGTGAAGGTCACACACAAGTGAGTAAAGTGTGTGTGTGTGTGTGTGTGTGTGTGTGTGTGTGTGTGTGTGTGTGTGTGTGTGTGTCACAAGGGCAGTGTGTGTGTGTGTCACGATGGGCAGTGTGTGTGTCAGGAGGACAGTGTGTAACAGGTGTGTGTGTCAGGAGGGACAGTGTGTAACAGGTGTGTGTGTGTCAGGAGGACAGTGTGTAACAGGTGTGTGTGTGTCAGGAGGACAGTGTGTAACAGGTGTGTGTGTGTCAGGAGGACAGTGTGTAACAGGTGTGTGTGTGTCAGGAGGACAGTGTGTAACAGGTGTGTGTGTGTTCCAGGTGTTACATGCTGATGAACGACAGTGTTCACTGTGAGAGAGAAATCTACCAATCCCCCCGAGCCTGGAAGGACCACAAGAGCTACGTGGACCAGGAGGTGAGACACACACACACACACACACACACACACACACACACACACACACACACACACACACACACACCTTCTCCAGGTTTCTCATTCAATCAGTATTTAGATCAAATATAATTTAAGGCGTAAAAAACACTTTTTTGTTTTACAAAATTGAAATTGAATTATATTTTTCAGACTAAAACATCACCTATTTCCACCTAGTTGGAATTTGTATTAATTTTGCATGTGAAATATATATATTTAATATATGGGAAATCATGTATATGATATTGTTCTGTCCACTATGTATAGTTTAATGATTTGTTATACTCTCATAAAGACTTGTTATCTTGCCTGATGTGTGTGTGACACACTGTGAGCTCATCATTAATTGAGAGTATTTCTCCATATTTAATTCCAGATTGAAGCCCTTCAAGACAAAATCAAAAACCTCCGCGAGGTGAGAGGACACCTGAAGAGGATCCGACCTGAAGACTGTGACTGTGGGAAGAAGAGGTCAGTGTTTCACCTCAAACTTACTTCCTGCACACACAGAAACGTGACATATATGTTGTTTTGGAGCTGATACAAAGCCCTGTAGAAGTCCACACCTTCAACCTGCCTGCTCCTTAGTCTGTGTCTCTGTGTGTGAAAGCAGCTATGTTAGCAAAGGAGACAGAAACAAGGCTCAGAGAGTGAAGAGCAGGAAAGATCAACTCCATCCCTTTAAGTGAGTTCCCCTTTAACCCTCGCTCTGTAGCCGTTACATCATCATCATCTTCCTCTCTGCATGCCCACTGAAACATCACCTTCATCACATGTGTGTGTGTGGCTGCAGCATGTGTGTGTTCTGTGTGTGTGTAGCTGCAGCATGTGTGTGTGTGTGTGTGTGTGTGTGTGTGTGTGTGCGTGTGCGTGTGTGTGTAGCTGCAGCATGTGTGTGTGTGTGTGTGTGTGTGTGTGTGTGTGTGTGTGTGGCTGTAGCATGTGTGTGTAGCTGCAGCATGTGTGTGTGTGTTCTGTGTGTGTGTGTGTAGCTGCAGCTGAGACGACAGATGCATGGCTGGAAATGATGCATGGAAACACAGAGATGTATTTATTTATATAACGTACACATTAATATATATTTCTATAAGTAGCTGGAGGTAAGTCACTCTAAAAACACATTTCATTTAAAATAACAAGTCAATCAAATCAGTGCAAACATGCTATAAAAACAATCAAATCGAACACACTGTAGTTTGTCATATCGTCAAATATCCATTGTTGTACGTTTTTTAGCGTTTCATGTTCTTTTGTATATTTAAATGTGGTTTAAATACATGTCTGTAGTCTTTTTTTAACCCTAAATAGTATATTTTAGACCTACTTTCACAACGTATTGTCTTACGTTGTTTAAGTTTGCCTCTCCAGAAACTAAAGCTCATGTCCTTGTTAGTGTAAACCTGGCAATGAACTCCATTGTGATGAAACACACAGAGAGTACACACAGGAGGCAGCAAACAGAGCTCCACAGAAACCGGGGCTGATGGGTAATCTAGTCCCGTTGTTTCTGCAGGGAAGCGGCGCAAGACAACGACGGGAATTCTCAGCTTTACAACGAGATCCGGCGGAAGAAGAAGGAAAGGAAAGTGAAGAAGAGAGCGAAGAAAGGAGACGACTGCAGCCTCCCAGGACTCACCTGCTTCACTCACAACAACGACCACTGGGCCACCGCCCCCCTGTGGACATGTGAGTGGACTGACTACCCACCATGCAATCTGCTTTTTGGGTTCATGCATAATGGCGTAAATACGTTTGTTAGTAGTTGAACCTCTCAGCTCCTATAAGAATATGTTTTAAAAGGTGTGTGTGTGACGAAAGCTGACAAAGAACATAGCATTAAAGTCCATTTAAACCACATGTTCACTTCCTGTTAGAGTTTGAAATTGGGTTTTGTGACGGTTACAATTCAGGAAATTACTATTAGGTCGTCGGCTGAAGTTGGTTAAAGGACTAAACTTAATGAAAGTGAAAAAATAGTTAATATATGATGTTGATACAGCCATGTGTGTCTTCTTTAACCTGGTTTAATCAAATAAAAATGACTATAAACACCATTTTATTAAAGAAAAAGGTGGATTTGAGTCGAAACCATTACCGTCTCCTCTGAAGCTAAGAGAGGGGACATGCTACATACAGCGTTATTAATGTGTGTGTGTGTGTGTGTGTGTGTGTGTGTGTGTGTGTGTGTGTGTGTGTGTGTGTGTGTGTGTGTGTGTGTGTGTGTGTGTGTGTGTGTGTGTGTGTGTGTGTGTGTGTGTGTGTGTGTGTGTGTGTGTGTGTGTGTGTGTGTGTGTGTGTGTGTGTGTGTGTGTGTGTGTGTGTGTGTGTGTGTGTGTGTGTGTGTGTGTGCACGCACAGTGGGGGGCTTCTGCGCCTGCACCAGCTCCAACAACAACACCTACTGGTGTCTGAGGACCATCAACGAGACGCACAACACGCTCTTCTGCGAGTTCTCCACCGGATTCCTGGAGTACTTTGACCTCAACAACGACCCCTACCAGGTCAGGGTCAAACTCTCTCACTCTGATCTTCATCCCTCTCTCTATCGAGGAGCTCTCTTTGGTCATTTTGAAGGTTTTAGTGGAAATAGCATCATGTATTTCCTCCTGCTCTTTCTAGAGACTGATGAACTCACAGCTACAACGTGATGACATTAAAACTGACTTGTATGTAAATAAAACACAAATATTTGCACAAAAATCTTTAAAAAGTCAGTAAGATTGTGCGATAAAAATATCAAATTAAATAAAAAATATTTATATAAATGTTACATTAAGTTGAGTTACATTTAAATGTAATAAATATACAAATAAATTGAATATAAACATGTATACTGTATAACATAAGAAGGTATGGAGTAAATACAAAATGTATAAATAAAATAGTGGATTTTTCTTTGTAAAAATATGCAATAAAAATGTAATTAACTCATTTGTATAAAAAGACAAAACTGCAATACAAATGTTTTAATAATATACAAATATGTATAAAAACACAAGAAGTTAAAATAGAATTTGTATAAAAGAAAGATAATACAAATAAAAAAATATTTACAAAACCAAAATGCGTTAAACTAAAAATGTGCACATTGAACAGTACCAACAAAATATATATAGAAATGTGTGTATTAAGAAGATCGATGTGTGTGTGTGTTGCAGCTGACCAACACGGTGTACACGGTGGATCGGGACGTCCTGAACTCTCTTCACGCCCACCTGATGGAGATGAGGAGCTGTCAGGGACACAAGCAGTGCAACCCCCGCCCAAAAGGACCCGACGCAGGTAAACACTCACCTGCAGGAACTCTGCTACACACACCTGTCCGATATATAAAGTGTTACTCTGGGTTTAGAGGGAGGTGTTACTCTGGGTTTAGAGGGAGGTGTTACTCTGGGTTTAGAGGGAGGTGTCACTCTGGGTTTAGAGGGAGGTGTTACTCTGGGTTTAGAGGGAGGTGTCACTCTGGGTTTAGAGGGAGGTGTCACTCTGGGTTTAGAGGGAGGTGTCACTCTGGGTTTAGAGGGAGGTGTCGCTCTGGGTTTAGAGGGAGGTGTCACTCTGGGTTTAGAGGGAGGTGTTACTCTGGGTTTAGAGGGAGGTGTCGCTCTGGGTTTAGAGGGAGGTGTCGCTCTGGGTTTAGAGGGAGGTGTCGCTCTGGGTTTAGAGGGAGGTGTCGCTCTGGGTTTAGAGGGAGGTGTCGCTCTGGGTTTAGAGGGAGGTGTCGCTCTGGGTTTAGAGGGAGGTGGCCGTACAGACTGAAACAGACTCACACACTCAGAGTGGGACGAGAGGACGGAGATGCATGCTGATATAGATTATACATGTCTCAGTGTCGTCTCCTGCTGTGTGTGCAGTCTGTTTCAGTCTCAGTGGTGTGTGTGTGTGTGTGTGTTAGTGTGTGTGTGTTAGTGTGTGTGTGTGTTTGCACATTATCTGCATGCTGCATGCCTCAGTGACGAATGCTGAATTTTTCAGGTGGAGGTCAAGGAGTCAAAATCCAGTCTTTTCTCTTGATGTTTGTTCAATGTTTACTTCAGGATCTCTCTCACACACACACACACACACACACACACACACACACACACACACACACACACACACACACACACACACAATTTCTACACTGTGGTATTACTCTACTTCTAGTACATTTGATCACATGTGACCCCTGCACTCTTTAAGGGAAACCCTGTTTATCTCCTCCTCTCCACCCTGCACAATGACTCTCTTCCTCCTCCAGATCTCTTCCTCTTCCTCTTCCTCTCCTCCTCCAATGATTGCCTTTCTCCGTAGGCAGTAGCAGTTGCATGCAGACTCTTCAGTGTGAATGACCTATAGTACCTCCCAATCAGACATTAACAATCGATTGCTTTTATTTCCCCGATCAGGAGGTAAAGATGGAGGCAGCTATGAGCCACACAGGTATCCACCCATTTTTGTTTCTCTTCAGTGGCTTTTTTCCCCCTTTAACACCTGCATGGGCTCAATCGCCTCATTCCCACTAATCCATCTGCCCCGTGGAGCTGCTGATGCATGCTGGGAAACGCTAACAGTAACATAATGGTTTTGTCTCATTGAAGCAGCTTCATGTTGTCTCGCTGTGTGGCGTCACTCTGCTTCAGAGCGCATTCACACAAGTCACTCATCAGAATCCATCTTGTTTTCTCACATGGCTAATAAAGTCATTATAGAGAGTTTACCTCCACCTGAGCATTAAGTGCACGTGAACACATGCATGAAACTGTATCATCCCACCATCATGCATCACATCTCACAGGGACTCGAACAGGAGACGTTTGGGGAATGATTTGAAGCAACAGCTAGTTTGCTAAATAAACGTTACTTACAGTTAACGGACAAGAAGGTTATTAACGGCGTCTTTTTAGGGCCATTGTAGGTAAAACATAATAACAATAACGATGCCCAAGTTAGGGGAAGAAAATAACTATCTGAATTTAGGACATTAAAAAAGTACATTTATGAGAAAAACTTGTGATAGTCTTTGATTATTAAAACATAATTATGCGTGAGAGATATAAGTAAAAAACGATCGGAAATGTAAGGTTTGTTTTTTTCCTCCGCCGGCTCTGCATTTGAATTGATATAATTAAAGCAGTCATCTTAAGAGGTACAAATTGAATAATCTCTGAAAGTAAAAAGTCATAAATATACAAGAAAAAATAACAAAATAACAAGCAAAAAACTGTAGATTTACTTCTTTCATCTCATGAGTGTTTTCTTTTCTAAAGATGTCTTTTGATAGTCAGGCTAGCTGTTTCCCTTTGCTTCCAGTCACTATGCTAAGCTAAGCTAACTGTCTGTTGACTGTAGCTTCATACTTACAGTTAAGGGCCATTAAAAGAAATAGACAAATACATAAATGAAAGCGGTACATTTATGAAAAGAAAAAGAACACCTTAATGAACAAAAACCTGTAAATTGAAAACGGTGAATTAACCAATTAAATCTGAGTTTCATTTTAGCATAATAGCCGCCTCTCTCTGGCTCTGTGTCTACACTTGAATCTCAAACACGTCATACCTCACTCTGAGTCATCCCTTTTAATATCACCTTCATCCACACATACACCACCTTGACCTCTGACCTCTGTTTCCGACACCTGCTTACCAGGCAGCAGCATGGGAGGTCAAAGAGGAGACCGAGCCTCTCCTTCCTGTGAGTCCGTCACACACACACACACACACACACACACACACACACACACACACACACACACACACACACACACACACACACACACACACACACACACACACACACACAGTAGCTGCAGCACGCTCACAAGCAAAGCCTAAAAGACGCTTATTTTCCCCCAAAATCTGCTGAAATTATTCTTTTAATTTGCATATTTCTTCCTGAAATCCTGCTCTTATTTCCCTGGGATAAACCAGCAGATCCTCTTATGTTTTTTTTTATTCCAGGTTGCCTGATTTATGCCGCTCACACCTTTTTTTTATTTATGTGCAGCTCAGCTCAGAACATCAGCATGTGTTTGCACTATGGCTTGAGGTGTGTGTGTGTGTGTGTGTGTGTGTGTGTGTGTGTGTGTGTGTGTGTGTGTGTGTGTGTGTGTGTGTGTGTGTGTGTGTGTGTGTGTGTGTGTGTGTGTGTGTGTGTGTGTGTGTGTGTGTGTGTGTGTGTGTGTGTGTGTGTGTGTGTGTGTGTGTGCGTGCTTCGCTGCATGACTTTTTGCAAATTGAACAATTGTACATATACTTCAAATAAAGTGCTTAATTGTGCAACTAATTGCAAATTTTAATTTACTTAAAATCAATAATTAAAATACTATCTAATACAAACTTGTGCAAAGTGCAATTCATCATTAACTACAGAACAAACAATGTCAATGAGTGAGAGCTCTTATTATTAAAATATTTGACACATTTAGGGAAAGTAATCTAAGTAACCTAAGATTTGAAAGGTCTCCTATCGTGCAAAATGCACTTTGTGATGTCTTTCATATATCAACATGTGACCCCAGAAAATAAAACCCTCTCTCTTTTCCTCCGTGCGCAAATCTCTGAAAACGGGGCTACACCGATGTGCCATCCGATATGACGTTATTTACGTCATATCGGATGGCACCCACGTGGTGGTATCAGAAACGTTGCCCGACGTAATATGGTCGGTGTTTACATTAGCATGGCTAACACTCAGAGCTAACCTGTACTGGAGAGCATGTGTGTGAAGAAGCAGGAAATAAAAAGGAACTCACCTTGTGGTGTAACCGGCAAGAGAGAAAGCCTTTGAGCTCCATACTGTTTCAGAGAGAATCCTTGATAATCCATGATATGGCGTTTCATCACGGCAGCATTTAGTTTAGACAGTAGCTGCTGGGTGGTCTGTTTGGTATTTTGAGCAAAACACTTCATAGACATGTTTTTTATATATTTTTATATATCTGAGACCTATGCTATTGCCTAAAAATAGCATGATAGGTGACCTTTAAGATTTATTTCGACCATTTGTAAGTATAAAATACTCGTTAAATAAATATTTAAATGACGCTCCTTTCATAATCAAATTAAATAACAGAACTTCAATTTGTAAAAATGTCACGTTTTTAAGAAGAGTCGTCCTCGAAGTTTAGGACATTAAAGCAGTGCATTTATGAGAAAAAAAATAACACATTAATGAACAAAAAACTGTAAATTGAAAACTGTTAATTAAGCAATTAAATCAGAGTTGTTTTTTTTACCATGCTAGCATTCCCTCGGCTTCCAGTCACTATGCTAAGCTAAGCTAACTGTCTGTTGGCTCCAGATCGCTTTTGCCTCTTTTTTCTGTTCTTTCTGCTTAAATAAATTGCCATGTTTGCAGTTTAGGAGCTGCCGCTTTGCTGCAAGACTCAGATTCTCTGTCTTTTCCTCACTCTGGTCTCTCTCTCTCTGCAGCTCTTCAGTTTGGGACGGACACCCGGGTTAAGTTGCCCAACCTGACGGAGGCGGGGGTTTGTTGGCAGGGTTTGGAGGATCTTTATCGCCTCAACGAGAGTCTTTTCGAGCGCCGGCCAAACTTCAGCCCCGGCCCCGACGACTGGCTCAACTTCCAGACGGACGTAGACAATATGTTTGCACTGCCACGCGTTTTTAAGAAACTCAAACTGGACGACTCCCCGAATCCAGAGCTAGGATCCGGATTCGGGGAGGGGGAGGGCAGCGGAAACGAGTTGGATTTGGACGTCACCCCCTCCCAAATCAGCACTCTCGCTGTTAACGATCTTCCCGAGAAAATGGCTAACAAATCGGGCCCAAAAAGAGACGTTCTTCCTCTGAGGACAAAGCAAATGGAGGAGATGGAGGGCGAGACGTTCAGTGGCAACGGGATGACGGAAATGGAAACGCATCACGACTCCCTGCTGCGTTTCCAGGAGGAAAGGGAGGAGGAAGACGAGGAGGAGGAAGACATTTTCCACGCCCAAAACCTCCTCCCTTTCTCCCCAAAAAGCGAGTATGAGGGCAGCGGCTCTCCGGCGTCCAATCAGAGTTAACGAGACATTCATAGAGACATGATTGATTGACAGACGCCACCTCAGTGTCAGAGTTGTATAATGAGTATTGCAATTTATTTTTCTACAGGTGCCTATTAGGAAAAACAGTGTTATTCTTTTTTTTTTCAAATATATATTTAGGAAAGAAAAAGCCTTAATGCAGCCGAGTGTTAAGAAGTGATTTGTTCCGTATGGATAACACCGCTTTAATATATGTTTTGATAAAAAACAACGAGTTTGAGTGGTCAAACCATCTCAGCTTTTTAAAAGGAAAGTTAGCAGCAGCTTCAGGTCATAAGTCCTCACACCCCTGCAGAGAGAAATAATCAATCTGACCCCATTTGCACTTTTTTAAAACTCTAATAAGACAATAGAATAATTCCCATCTATTTTATTCGTCATTTAAGGATTTTTTCATGCCGAAATGCTGCTTTAAATCGTCTTAAAGTGAATATTTTTATCAATATCCTCTGACATTTTACAGACCCAATCCTAAATACATTAATCATTTAATCAAGATATTTTTAAGATGAATTGATAATAAAAATGAGAGATGCAGCTCCTATTTGTATAGATTATTTCTATAGGGTTAGGGTTAGATACAACTAGATTAAAACATGTGGGGAAAGTCATATCTCTGTTTCACAAATAATTATAGACATGTATTTAAAATGTGCTTTTGTTTCAGTAACTGTGGACATTCACAGGACAGGTAATACATGATTTGAACGCTGGGATTTGCACGTAAAGTAAAATAATCCTCACCGGGTGTTAATGTTCATTCTGTCACTTTCTGTTGTAAATGTCACATTTTCCTCACGTGGTGTTTTCTGTAAAAACGAAAAGATTGTACCTACAGTCCTTAAAGTGAAATGTGGTTAAAGACGACGGCTTTATTCACTTCCTGTCTGTCCTTCATCTCGACCGTTAGAAATGTGTAAAAAGCTGCTGCTGTGCTTCTCTGTAACTTTCAGGACAGAAGCTGTTCAGAAATAAACGTTTCAACCTCCTCCGCCCCGTGTCCACGTGAGGTAGAAGTAGTAGAAGTAATAATAAGTGTAAGAATTGAGTCAGACGAGTCGTTTTCTTTCCGTTTTTTAATGACAAATATCAAGTTTCAAGGCTTTTGTAAACCAAGTGTTCACAAACATGAATCAGAGCTCCTCTTTCAGAGCACGAGGAAAAGCTCCTTAAAGCAAAATCCAGTCGTCTGAATGAACAGAAAGCAGCTGCAGGATCCTCCTCCCTCCCTCCCTTTATATATATATATATATATATATATATATAACGGTTTTAGCATCACTTAATGCAAGCTTACCAACGTTCAGTAAATACAAATGGATTTGCAAAGACCTGAGAGGCAAGTGTGGAACAAACGGATTTAATTTGTGATTTACGAACAGGTGAATTAAACGGTTTGCCAAGATATGTTATTTTTGTGAACCCTGTGTTCTGAATTTGACTTAAAAGCTGCTTTTATAGCCATAAGAAAGACAAGTTACATAAGTTTGACACACAATAAATATACCTTGTGTTAGTAGAAATAAAAATGACTTAAAAAAAATATCCTGTCAAATCACCTGTTTTTAAATCTTCACGTCTCACTTGCCTCTCAGGGCTTTTTATCTAAAATCCATTTTTACTCCAACTTGTTTATTTGGTATTTTATCAGAACAGAAGTCAATTAGCAGCTGTAATGAGTTAATAGAATAAATATAGGTTATTGTTCAAATAATCCTGCACCGGAGGAAGGGTGGAGAATCACTACAGAGGGAGAGAAGGGCATTCTGGGTAATATAACTTCATTTAAATGAGTAATCCCCCCCCCCCAAAAAAATACTGTTCAGACCCCGAAAGACAGATCATTTGTTGACATCTTTTTGAATTACAATGTAATGTTAGTTCATAAATATGCTTCTAACTAACTTGATAATACGCGCCATTAGCTCTGTAGATATTTACATGTCGATGATCCCTTATTATGAATATTTAATTTGAGGTACTAAGTCACGATAATACTAAACCAGTCAGAAAACCACATCTTGACTGCAGCAGACTCTGCGGTTCTTCCACTCAGGTTGAACTACTCAGGATATAAAACACAATAACTTGTTCCAGACTTTTCCTAATTCCCCTTTTAGGTAAAAGCACGTACTTGTACTCCAACAAAGTGTATTTTTTGCTAACATGAAAAAGGCTTTTCTCACTTTTCACAGGGAGGTTAATTTAAGACATTCAAGAAAATATAGTCAAAGAAAATTATACGATTCTAATAAAACTACATTTTTCAGACCTTTAATTTAATTCATTCAGCAGAAAGTAAATCTTTGGGAAACTGGATTATTAATGGACATTTTAACCAAGATTTAAGTCGGTCTGACACAACATTCACTGGCCTTCACACAATCATCTGCAGCCACCAGGGGGCGCCAGAGAGTTAATCAGACTCCTGCTGAAAGAAGCTTTAAATGCTCGCTGCACTACTTTCTTAAAAAGCCTACACTAGGAGAATAATACTATTTACATCTGGTGACCTTCAGTATGGAGAAGCCAAAGTGATGCATCCTTCTGTCGTACATTATAGACACCAATCGTTGTTTAAAAGTCGATTTTTAGAAACCTTTTCCACATCTTTTTGACTTACAGTAACTTCAGCACATGGTCAGAGAGGAGAGACCTGTCTTTACTTCACTCTGTAACAAAGTAGTGTGTAATGAAATCTAGATTGAATAGAAGTCGCTAAAGGCTAAGTGTCGGCTTTAAGCTACATGGTGACGTCACCAAGGCAGAGCAGACTGGCTTTCTTCAGCTAGCATTAGCATCGAGCTAGCTGTGTGTACACTGGCCGAAAAGCCTGAGAGGCACTGTTACAGAAAAGAGTAGATTTAAAACACTTTAGTCAGTTCTTAAGACCCAAAAAACAGCTGAGACGATCAGAGGAAGCTGATGTGTTCAAAGCGGGAGGAGAAGAAGGTAATACATACTTTTTAGAGCGCTTTTTCCTGGTGCTCAAAGACGCTTTACAGTATATGAAATCAGAAACAAAAAGAAAAGATGGAGAAGGAGGGTCTGTACGGGGGTCTTGCATAGTACAGTGAGAGAGTTGTGCTTTAGAGGCCGTTGTGATGGCGGCTCTTCGTCTGAAACAGGTTTTTAATGCCTTTAATAATGCCTCTTCCAGTAGCACCATGTGATGTCTTTGCATCAGCCCTTTGAAAGTGTGGCTGTGGAGCAGAAACACAAACAGGAAGAAGAAGGCACGTGTCACGAGGAATAAGGCGTGGCTTCAGATGTGGGTTGTGTGTATATATATATATCCTTAATTTAACCAGGTAAAAGTGTCATTGAGATCAAAATCTATTTTTCAAGAGCGACCTGGCCAGCATGAACAAAGCTGCAATAATAAGACGAGTAAGAGACTAGTAAAACACAACTGAAATGGCACAGTCAATATGCAACATAAAAGAAAACGTAAAAAAACTGCCACCATTTTTAAATGTCTTCAATTATGGGATATAAGAGCAATTACATCGACCAATGGATTCTTGTTCTCTGTCCTTTAAGATGGACTTGAATTCCTCCGAAGTGATCAAATCTGAGAGTTTCAGCTCCGACTGTATTCCAAGCATAAGGGGGCAGCATATTGAAAAGCTTTTTGTACCTAGTTCTGTTCTCAAATCGTACTACAGGACGTCTCAATGCACATAAACTCAACGCCAGGCACCAGAGAAGTCTTCCCCAAACACTGATTTACTTTAGCTAGCTTTGTACCTCACGTTATGGCTTTGAGGGCGTTTCCTGGGCAGCTCAGAGTGCTGTGTCCGCGGTGAAGAATCGGAGCGACGGCGGGAATAAAAATCGGACACGAACGCGTACGAGCGTGACTTTTTTGACCCCCAACGTGACAAATTAACTCGCTGACGGTGCCCAGAGGAGGCAGGCGCTCCGCTTGGCGATCCTCCTTGTGCTTGAGGGAGTACCAGGTGAGGAAGATGAAGATGAAACCGACGAATTTGAGGCTGGCGGCGAGGCCGAAGTAGACGAAACGAAAGGAGGTGACGTCGTATTCCCAGCAGGAGCCGTGCACGCCGCAGTCCTGCTGCCACAGCATGCACGTGGTGTCGATCACTGCGCCGAAGTAGATGGGGGTGGGGATGTAGGCTGAGAGAGAGAGAGGATTATTACATTTACTGAAAAAAACTCATAGTATAGTATGCTGAAATGTTGAGATTTATGAGGTATTATCCCCTTCCTCATCTTCAAAAAGGCATAGTATGTAGTTTGTCAGAAAGAATTCATAGTATAGCATGTTGAAAAAAGTAACATATGTAGTTCTTGTCCAAAAAGTCATAGTATAGTATAAGGTCGTTTTTTCAGAAAAAAGTCAGGCATCTCGAGAAAAATGCAAAACATAAATATGGTATGTTATGTCTAAATAAGGCACGTTACAGTGTGTAAGAACCAGGCGTAGAATAGTATGTCGTAGAAAAGTCTTATGGCATGTCGAACAAAATGCAAGGTGTACCCAATGCACAAACTGATATACATGATAACAAGTTGTTTTAGTTGCATATGTTAATCGCCTCAGTTTAATAAGTTAACCTGGTTTTCTGAACAATAAATCTAACTACCAAAGATGTCTCTCAGAAATGATTAGTTTCAAAGCTCTTAATGTAAATGAATTCTCTACAACGTCATGGTGTTAGCAGAAGAAGATAAGAAGCTATACATATAGCGTGTGGTTCTGGTGTCTATAATCATACTGAGGAACTTACCAAGAGTTCTGAGTAAGACAAACTGCATCCCGAGAGCAAAAGGCCTCTCCTGTTCCTCCACAGACCTGAGAAGGAGACAGAGATATCACAAATGCATCAGAATAAAAGCGTGTAAGGGGAACTGTTAGAAAAATACCACTCGTCACCGGCTTGAGCTTCAATTTCAGGATCCATGTAAGATGCAGGAATAACAGTTCTTCTAGGTAATCATACATCCTGTTATGTACAAAATACTGACGTTTTCTCAAAATCTAAAAAAATCAGACTTTTTCTCAAAATTCAGACTTTTTTCTCAAAATTCAGACTTTTTTCTCAAAATGTTGGCTTTCCAGAAAATCTCAACATTCTGACTGCTTCTCAAAATCTCACATTTCTGACGTTTCCTCAACATTTTGACTTTTTCTCAAATTCACCAAAATTCAGAATTTTTCTCAAAATCTCAAAAATTCTGGCTTTTTCTCAAATTCTCAAAATTCAGACATTTTCACAAAATTCAGACTTTTTCTCAAAATTCAGACTTTTTTCTCAAAATGTTGGCTTTTCAGAAAATCTCAACATTCTGACTGCTTCTCAAAATCTCACATTTCCGAGGTTTCCTCAAAATGTTGACTTTTTCTCAAATTCACCAAAATTCAGACATTTTCTAAAAATTCAGACATTTTCTCAAAATTCAGACTTTTTCACAAAATCTAAAAGATTCGGACTTTTCTCAAAATTCTGACTTTTTCTTAAAAAACGCAAAATTGTTAATAATCCCTGGTCACAGACTTGAGCTTCAATCTCAGGATCCATGTATTTGTGATCCTCTCCAGAATGGAAGTAGTCATCACATACAGAGCATCAACTAGTTCCTGAACAGTGTCCTTCACATGCTGATATCCAAGAGAGGGAGTTACACAGCTACAGTTGGGATACCTTTGTCATCATGTTACTCTCACGTTGGAACATTCAGGATTTTCCCAACAGGAACCTAGAGAGAGATTTACCTGAGAGTGACGATGATGGCGGAGGGCTGGGCGCAGGCGGTGATGAGGGTGACGATGAAGAGGAAGATGAGGAAGGGGATGAGGGTGTTGCAGGTTCTGTCACACTTCCCCGACAGAGCGTATCCGTTCTGGTTCAGGTACGTCTTCACGATGACGAGCTGCAGCTGGTTGACCTGCAAAGAACTCACATGAATACTTCTTAGATCTGAACATTTCAACATGCTATACCAGGGGTGTCCATTTTGAATCGGCCCTCAGCTAATTCTACAAGTAAAATGTTATACGGCCCACAAATGAAACTTGAGCTTGTCTTGTACTTCTTAAATACATCTGTAAACATATATTACTCAGATGTGTTAATAGTCAATTCAAGTTACAAATATGTTCTAACAAATCTAAGTTGATAAAACAATAACACATTCACATAACAACCTTGAAATAAACCCTTCATATTTCCTCTTATTATCAATCTGAAGCTTCTGTTTAAGGGATGAGCTGCTAACACAATAAAGGAAACCCTCTGGAGAGCTGGGAGCTGTTTATTTTTCTTAAAGCATCTGCAATTATCAAGAATAATTGACCTACGATTGATTGATTTTGCTGAGTTATAACTTCAATGATGAGGCAATAAACCTCACCTCTAGTGAGTGGCCCAGCCCTACGAATTCTTTCTGTATGTGACCCTCGGTGAATAAAGTTTGGATACCCCTGTACTATAATATGAGTTTTCTCAGCATGTACCTGTCCTCCGGAGGACGGAGTGATGACCTGTCGGCTCTGAACACAGCCGCAGTCTGAGTAGTTCCTCACCTGTGGACACAAAACACTCCAATTAATACCTCATGAATCTGGAAACAAATATAGTTCAACGTGATATACTATGACCCTTTTCTGAATAAAACGACATGCTATACCACGCCTGGTTTCTACACACTATACCGTTCCTTATTCCGACATAAAATACCATGTTTTATTTGCATTTTTCGACATACTGTACTATGGCTTTTTTTCTACATACTATGACGTTTTATCCACATGCTATATTTGACTTTTTGTCTGAAAAAAAATCAACATATTTTTTTAACATTCTGACATACTCCACTATGAAGTTTGTCCTGAATAGCGTGTGCTAATTGTGTGTGTGTGTGTGTGTGTGTGTGTTCTCACCCCGGTGCTGTCGTTGCCCACGCTGCTGCACCCGGCCAGACAGGGGTTGAAGTAGGTGATGCCGTCGGAGCCGCACACCGGAGCGTACTCATGGATCCTGCAGCCACAGTTCACGTTACAACTTCCTGTCAGGTTCCTGTGGGTCATCGTCAGGGTGGGGCTGCAGGGAGACAAGAACACTTAGTACAGGTCACCTATTATACTGTATTTCATCAATATATCACAGGTCTCAGATATATCCAGAGCCTGTCTCTGATTGGCTGAAACACCAAACAGATCATTGCAGCATTACCCATAATCCCTTCTGTTTCAGCCCTGTTTCCAAAGTGCTGATTCTCTGTCTGTTACTTCAGATGAAAACAAGGAGCCCCTCCCCACGTACTTTTTCTGCAAAGCGTATTTGACTAATTGTTTTTAGGAGGCTGAACATTCCCCACATGTCTGTCTGTTTAGAGAGGTAACATCCTCGATGTGTTGTTTGGAACGATGGTTCAATATGTGTGATGATAACAGGACTGCAGAGACAGTGTGGGAACCAACGCAGGACTTCTGTCTAAACACGGAGCAGTGAAGCGACGCAGAGTTTCTTTTGGGAAAGCTTCACTGTGGAAAAACCTAAGGCCCTAACGCACGCACGCACGCACACGCATGCGCACGCACGCACGCACGCACGCACACACACAATAGATCTCTCTCTCTCTTAAGGTTTGAATGTTGATGTTAAACAGAGACGCATTCATTATTTGACGCGAGAAGACCAGACAGTGATGTTCCTTTTTATATGTCTTGTTTCACAGGAAGCACATTTGGGCAAGTCCTGACATAACGTCACATTCCAGACTGTGTGTGTGTGTGTGTGTGTGTGTGTGTGTGTGTGTGTGTGTGTGTGTGTGTGTGTGTGTGTGTGTGTGTGTGTGTGTGTGTGTGTGTGTGTGTGTGTGTGTGTGTGTGTGTGTGTGTGTGTGTGTGTGTGTGTGTGTGTGTGTGTGTGTGTGTGTGTGTGTGTGTGTGTGTGTGTGTGTGTGTGTGTGAAAAAGACTGATTGCACACGTCCTTTCTTCCAGACTAAGCCATCTCCAAAAGGTACACGTTTTATTTAAAGATGCCTACACAGCATGCATGCCTCACTCATAATCACAACAACACAGGGCTGCACAATTATTCCAAATGTCAAAGTTGCAACGTGGACTAATGCAATGCTCAAATAGCAGGAAGCAGTATCTTTAAGGGTAAATATGTGTTCAAATACCATTTTGATGAGGTACGGTGCAGATGCAGAGATGGTGTTCCTCAGACTGAATACAACATTTTCTTTGACACAGATTTGAGGAAACCACGATGGACATTTTAATATATGTTGCGTATACTTTTCTCCGTGCAGACTGTGAGCGATGGGGTCAAACATTCCTCATGATGGTGCTGCTGCTGACCGGAGCATCTCACACAGCAGCTCAGTTATTAATGAGAGGCTTTAAAGGGCCACCGACTATTTGACAAAGAATCACCACGATTAACTTAGTGATGTGAAAAGTCAACTCCACAGATTCAGTGTGTTCAGAGTTCAGTGAACTCCAGGCAGGACGCAGTCCACTGAAATACTATTTATGACATACTTTAACATTTAACGTCTTAGTATTGTCAAAAGAAATGTTGAAAACTGAAGTATGCAAAGCAACAAGATAAGAGTTTTAATATGTGTGCTATTTATATTAAATATATATATATACTATTAGATCATTTCTACTGTTGATATGTATATATTTAATATTTGTGTTTATCTTATTCTATTAGTATTTTATTCTATATATTTATGGTTAACTTTCTGCTGCTGTCCCAATATGCAATAAATCAATGATATTTAGTCTAATCTTATCTAATAATAAACCATAATAAGATGTGGATAATGCCTTTAATTATCTAAAGCAGTCATTCAAATGCTACGTTTGCTTATATATATCTTTTTACCTTAAAACACGTGTTTATACTGTAGTGCTAGATTTCACACTAAAGCAATGGAAATAAGTATTTGATAAGAACTTAAAGGGTCTAATTACTTCATAACAACTCATTATTACAAGGTACTTTATTTAAAACAATTGCCATTTTATACTTCTGACTACATGCTTGCATAAGAAACTTTGAGTAAATAAAAATGTTAATTTCCGGTGCAAACATGACAGTAAATATCGTACAGTATAATGAGATGCATCCTCCAAGGTCACTGTGTGTGTGTGTGTGTGTGTGTGTGTGTGTGTGTGTGTGTGTGTGTGTGTGTGTGTGTGTGTGTGTGTGTGTGTGTGTGTGTGTGTGGCTTAGGTAGTTTGCCACAAGCTTGCACCTGCAGCCTGTGTATTTGACGCTACAAGACCAGACAGTGATGCTCTTTTTTATATGTGTTGTTTCACAGGAAGCACATTTGGGCAAGGCCTGACATAACAACGTCACATTCCAGACAGTGTGTGTGAGGGAAAGGGTGTGTGTGTGTGTGTGTGTGTGTGTGTGTGTGTGTGTGTGTGTGTGTGTGTGTGTGTGTGTGTGTGGAGCAGCAGCAGCTTCAGAAATAGAGGTGACAGTGATTCGAGAGCAGATGCCAGTGTTGCTAATTAATCACTCCAACACAATGCCACAACACATGAGGATGATGGGAGTGTGGACACACACACACACACACACACACACACACACACACACACACACACACACACACACACACACACACACACACACACACACACACACACACACACACACACACACACACACACACACACACACACACACACACACACACACACACCACACACACACACACACACACACACACACACACACACACACACACACACACACACACACACACACACACACACACACACACACACACACACACACACGGCACGCAGGCCTTTCAGTTAATGTGTAACATAATCTGACATTTGCATGTTTTCCCACTCGGTGTAGAGACTGCAGGATAACACTGAAGCACGTCTGGCCTCCGGCTCGTTCCACTAAAGGAAATGTTGGGAACAGGACGATGAGCTCTGAGCACTTTTACATTTAAATGCAAATGGTTACCATCATAGAGTCTTTGTTTACATTAGATATTGTTGTGGTTTTTTTAAACAACATATTATATTCTCAATGGGACCAATCTGGTTAAATAAAGGTTTGAAATGAAATGAAATATTATAAAACTTGTTCTTGACATACTTTTATATTTTTAAGATTTTCTTTTTACAACTTACTTTACCTTGACTTTTTATTGAATTTTCTAATGTTTTTTTTAAACATTATTGTATACTATTAAACTGTTATACTCGTATATATTATACTTTATAATATTACATTTTTATTATAAAAATACACGTGCTACACTGACCTTTCAGGACGTTTTTTACTATACTTTAGTATTTATAACATACTGTAATATGACTTGTTTTATGACTTTTTAATGTTTTTTTTAAGATGATATATATAATAATAATAATAATGATAATGCATTTTATTTATACTGCGCTTTTCTAGAAACTCAAAGACACAAGTAAATATATACTTTTTAACCTTTTTAACACTTACTAAACTTAAACTTTTGCATGATTTTTTGCGATACCATACTAGAACCTTTTTCATGATTTTGACAAACTATTATATTTTTAAGATTTTCTTTTAGAGATTTTCTTTTTAATCAAAAATGTTATGTTTCTTTTAAACAATATTATACTATTAAACTGTTATACAATTATACTATAAAAAATGTTTACTACTAGACTGACTTTTTAGGATATTGTTTTACCATACTATAGTATTTTTAAAATACTATATGACTTGTTTCATTACATTTCATTTAGCTGACGCTTTTATCCAAAGCGACTTACAGTGACCGATTACAGGGACATTCTCTCTGGAGTAACTAAGTGCCTTACTCAAGGGCGCACTAGTGGTGGTGTTCCTGGGGGGATTTGAACTCACAACCTTCCGATCTTCAGCCCACCTCACTATCCATTAGACCACCACTACCCTTCATCTATCCATGACCTTTTTATGTTTTTTAAAGACGCTATATTCTTATGCATGATTCTTTTGGCATCCCAAACTACAGTAGGACTTCATGATTCTGAATGGGTCTACAGTCAGGATAACTGATCAATACATTTCCTTAAACTCTTTCCACTAAAGGAAATGTTGGGAACACCGCGCAGGAACGATGAGCTCTGACCCCTTTGCATTACATTTAAATGCAAAAGGTTACCAGGGGATAAAAAAGTCGACATTAGATATTGTTATGGCTTTTTTTACGATGTATTATACTATACGTTTTTTTAATGTTTTTTTTGACATACTTTTACATTTTTAAGATTTTATTTTAGAGATTTACTTTTAAATGAATTTTTTAATGTTTTTTTAAACAATATATTATACTACCAAAACTGTCATACTATATATATATATATATATATTATACTTTACTATTTTTTTAATACTATAATATGCAGGGATGCAAACTCATCAGGTATGAAAAAGGTGACAAGGATCCGAGCCCCCCGACCCCACGGAATATCGGCTTTAAAATGAGGAACAACAGGATGGTAGCAGTCAGAACAACTAAAGCAGTTAATAATAACAGAAACACCAAAGAGTCACATCTAATAGAAATATATTTAAGCATTTATTTTAATTGTGTCGCAGTCAGTTTATAATTTTGGCAGCACTGTTGAGCATTTAGAAAATGTATTTTCATGCCTCTGTGCAAGGCTTAGTCTTTCTATCTGTATAGCCAGTGGTGTAAAGTAACTAAGTTCATAAACTCAAGTACTATACTTGGGTACAATTTTGAGATACTTGTACTTTATTTAAGTATTTCAATGTGTTGCTACTTTGTTCTTCTACTCCTCTACAGTTCAGAGGTACATGGTGTACTTCTACTCCACTACAGTTCAGAGGTACATGGTGTACTTCTACTCCACTACAGTTCAGAGGTACATGGTGTACTTGTACTCCACTCCATGTATTTAATCCCTTTAGTTACTTCACAGATGTGGATGAATGATGTGAAATCTAATCAAGTGTTAAATCAGACTTTAGTTCCACCTGGAGTAAATCCACAAGCTACCCTGCAGTATACAAAGTCATTCAAACTAGCTGCACCTTTACCAGCTTTGAGAACACTTTCATGATCAATCATTATAAAACATATCATATATATTATTCTGAAATGGACCAATCTGCACAATGACTACTTTTACTGTCGCTACTTTCACTATATTTTGATGAGAATACTTTTCTACTTTTACTTGAGGAACATTTTGAATGCAGGACTTTTACTGAAACAGAGTATTCCTACACTCTGGTACTTCTACTTTTACTGTCACTACTTTCACTATATTTTGATGAGAATACTTTTCTACTTTTACTTGAGGAACATTTTGAATGCAGGACTTTTACTGTAACAGAGTATTCCTACACTCTGGTACTTCTACTTTTACTCAAGTACAAGGTCTGAGTACTTCTACTTTTACTCTAGTACAAGATCTGAGTGCTTCTACTTTTACTCAAGTACAAGACCTGAGTACTTCAACTTTTACTCAAGTACAAGATCTGAGTACTTCAACTTTTACTCAAGTACAAGATCTGAGTACTTCTACTTTTACTCAAGTACAAGATCTGAGTACTTCTACTTTTACTCAAGTACAAGATCTATACTTATACCACCTCCGTTTATAGGCTATGAAAGAAACTATTTGAAAACGAAGGCTAAAGCTAACGTTAGCAGATAGTGACATTGTATGCTAGTTAGCTAGCTCAACGATTCATTAAATAATATTGCGACAGAAAAACCTTTCAGTGCACATCACGCTCTGCCGCTCCGACAGGGAGCTCTGCTCTGAACACCTGAACGGCCCGTTCTAACAGCTGTTCACCAGCGGTCCAGTCTGTGCCACAGTGACTCCGGACCACACAGTTAATATTAACGAACGCACCCGTAGGTAATGTAGCTGCTGAAGCTAGACCCTCATCCCGGAGCAGCAGAGCCTTATGATACATCCATGAGCAGAGCCGACAGGCAGGAAGACTCCAGCACACAGCTCGCGCTTCATTATAATATATAAAAAAAGAACACCATGCGTGTCATGATGGCACATAACAGCTCGCGGCCGCAGATTACTCCGGGTCCCAGACCCCCCCCATACCCCAAAAATATTTTTATTGCAGATCTACATGAATCACACAAACGACCTATTTTGGAATCAAAACGGCGAATTTCGCCGAAAGGTGACAAGTTTGCATCCCTGATATAACTTATTTTATGACCTTTTTATGTTTTTTTTAAGATGCTTTGGCATTACTTTTTATCCTTTTTAACACTTACTTAACTTGAACTTTTGTATGATTTGTTTGACATCCCAAACTACAGTAGGACTTCCTCCATGATAACACTGGTCTTTATTTCTTCCCACTAAAGGAAATGTTGGGAATAACGTGCAGGAACGAAGAGCTCTGACCACTTGCATTAGATTGGAGTAAGAATGAAACCCAGTCTCTTTTCATTGTGTGTATAATAATAATAACTCCTCCTCTCACCCGGTGGTGTAGGGGATGTTGATGCCTCCCAGGTTGATGCTCTCACAGCCCACGATGAACAGCGTGGAGAAGCAGAGCAACGACACGCCGCTGCAGATCATCGCCAGCTTGGCAGACTCTCGCGCTCCCAGCTTCAGCTTCTTTATGATGTATCCTCCCAAAACGATGCCTACACCTGCACTGGGAACGATGATCAAACCTGCAAGACAGAGAGAAGGGAAAACACCTCAGAGGCGTCGCAAAACAGCTCAGAAATACAGCTGTGAGAAAATGTTTAACACTGAATTTATTTCTGTAAAGCATCTGATCTGATGATTCTTAATAAAGCATGAATAACATATCACACTGGTAGCACTTCTAGGTCTATAAAAACATACTTTATTTCATTATTAATAGCTTTTTGCGCTGTATAATTAGAGTTTTTAATGACCTATAATGCCAAGTATCATTATTGGTGCTCACTCACTATCATTTAAGATTTTATGGTATTTCTCACCGACACATTTTAATGCATTAAGCTGCCATCGAGCTCTCTGCCCGGTAACGAGCAACGAGAGGTCAGCCAGTGGGGAAAGTGTGTGTGTGTGTGTGCGTGTGCGTGTGCGTGTGCGTGTGCGTGTGCGTGCGTGCGTGCGTGTGTGTGACTGGATCAGAGGTGGGAGACAGGGTGGAAGCTGCAGCAGAGTTAAGGTGTTATTTCTGAAGCGTCTAATGAGCATGTAGCAGCGGCGCCTCGTTAAACCGGAATAATACAGAATCATATCCATTTATCTTATTGTGACATGTTTGGTTTCTACATGGCTGTTTGCACTCCCTCCAGAGCATTCAGAGAGACAACGCTATCTGTCTGTTTCTTTATATACTGTAGTGCTAATTCTAGATACCTAATTATTCCTCTCTTTGTTTCTAGCGAAGCGTTGTTGGTGCTGCTGGAAACTTAAGATGCATTATGCTCGGGAAATACAGTTAAAAAACTTGAATAAATGAACTGAAACTATAACTTATCCAATGGCAATTCTTGCTCTGTTGGCTTGTTCATATGTGATGTTGGGACAACACACAGATTGATTGAGTCACTCGGGAACAGTGTTAACGAGCTGTAAACACAACGCTGATATAGCCAATTACCACCTTATGTCTCCATACCATCATATATTATAAGAAACATGCATTGCATTCGTCTGTAGTCGTGCTTTTGCTTACCTATTAATGCATGTCTCATCTTTCTTTTGTGCTTAATATACTTTGTTATTTCTCTCTGCCAATTACAAGTATCTTCAGCTGCTAAATGCTCCACTTTGTCCACCGGCTAGTTGCTATCTTTTGACTCTGGATCAGTGGAAACTAGGGCTGTGCAATTAATCGTATTTTAATCGCAATTACGATTTTGGCCTGCCACAATTACGAAAACAACATAATCGAAAAAAACAATTATTTTGCTTTGCTTGGTTGTGACCGTGCACTGCAAGATATTTGATCTAATTAATTTTGGTCTCATTTATTTGTATTTATCATATTTATATATGTTTAGTAGCTTGGGGAAGTGCGCTCCAAAATATTTGTTGATCTTGTTTATTGGTATTTATCATTTTGATATTATTTATTTAAATGTATAATTTATTTTATTTATTTGTGTATTGGTTTTTCAGTTGAATTATATATTATACGTTCAGGGTAATCAACAGTTAAAAAGATACTGTTCAAATTATTATTTGTATTTGTTTTAAAGTTCAATAAATGGATGTTTTCAAAGTCAATGAATAATCCTATTTAATAATCGTGATATCAATTATTGACCCAAATAATCGTGATTATGATTTTTGCCATAATCGCACAGCCCTACAAAGAACCATATCCGGCATCTTTGAAATGATGATCCACTTTGTCCACCAGCTAGTTGCTATCTTTTGATCAGTGGAAACAAGCTGTTTTTAAATCACTGATGCATCTGATTATCACCTATCATCACAGCAGCTCACAAGCAGAGTTAATAATAATAATAATACTTCTACATGTTATCTATTTAGCGCGTTCCTGGTGCTCAAAGCGCTTGATTAGAAGCTGTGTAGCAGCTACTCATGAAAGTATAATATTCAATTTCCACTCATGAAAGAACTTCAGAGGGAAGTATCCTTCACTTTTTTAGCAGCTAGTTGCTTTTATCCGTCTCAGAAACTCAGAATTTCCCACAGATTTAAGCCACAAATTCTTCTAAATAGGCTCAACTTATGAGAACGTTTATTTAAAAAAACTGATGCAAATGATAAAAAGTTATGCGCTAAAATCAAGAGTGTAGTTTTAAAATGTAATCAACTGCAGGGATAATCCACAGTGACCTGCATCAGTGAGAAGAAGTTGAGTTTAAAAACACACTTTTTAAAAGAACTTTGAGGTTTTTTTCCTGTGAATTTGGGAGTTTTTTGTTGTAAATTAACCATTTTAATTTCAGAGAACATCAGAGTTTATTCCTCGTAAGAATACCACGTTAATCTTGGAATATTTCCCCACTCCTTCACCTCATTTGTAATTAATTTGTTATCTAAAACATGGCACAAATCAAGAGGATGCAGGAGTGCCCTCGCTTGGCATCACTTTGGGAAACCATGGCAACACACCGCCCATTTATCCTCGTATCCTGGCAACAGGCAGATGAGATGAAGTAATGGTTTTGTCGTGTGTGTGTGACCGTATGTCAGCCATCAGAATACACACACACACACACACACACACACACACACACACACACACACACACACACACACACACACACACACACACACACACACACACACACACACACACACACACACACACACACACACACACACACACACACACACACACACACACACACACACACACACACACACACACACACACACACACACACACACACACACACACACACACACACACACACACACACACACACACACACACACACACACACATTTCTTTACGTGCACTTTTGCATATTTGAGATGTGTAATAATCCTGATATCTGATTTATTGTAATACCACGACTGAAGGTTTTATACATGCTACAGAGGGGTGTGTGTGTGTGTGTGTGTGTGTGTGTGTGTGTGTGTTTGTGTGTGTGTGTGTGTGTGTGTGGATGACTCATAGTGCAGACGGTGAATCATCAAGTTCACGTGGAGAGGTGAGAAACTCATGAGGCATGAACTGGTGCGAGTGACACGAACACAAAGAAAGCAAAAGGTGGAAAAAGAAGACCTAAAACTGTATTTATGATGTTTTTATGAACATATCATAAAAACAAGCAGGTTTCAATTGAAATCCTGATATTTAAAAAAGTGCTTCTTTTTAACCAGGTTTAGCTAAATCGCTGCAGACTAGTGTCATGCATGTTAATTTGTAGGGGAAGGTTTGGCCTCATTGATCTAATAGTGTGCAGTTTCATTAACATGCAAAATGACTGCATTAAAAGGAAAGGAAACTCCATTTATTCTCAGGATAAGATAAGATTTAATAGGACTTTGTTTATCCCGAAGGGAATTTTACAAAGATAAAATAAACACAGCAGCATAATAATAAAACTGTACACTAACAGGGCGGTAAAAAGAGCAATTAAATAACTACAAGAAACACAAGGCGCTTTCACACCGCAGTACTTTTCCCACTTTAGTTCCGATATAGTTTTGAAATGTCGCGTTTCACCCCCTTTTCAGTCCCTGCTAGAGAGCAGGGACTTTCGTGGGACAAAAAGGTTCCTATTTCTGATTGGCTGGGAGGATTGCAAACCACACCCCGTAAAACTCCAAAAAGGTTTTGTGAAGCCGCCATTGTATTTGCTGGCATTAGCATTATTAGCATTAGCATTCGCCCAGTGCAGAAACGCAGAGAGACTAACTTATGGCAACACAAAATAAAACATGGGAGCGGTGGAGATGAGGAGGTGTCGGTGTTCTGGAGATTTACTCTGAAGGCTTCAGTAGAAGCTGCTGGGAGTCCCAGCAGCTTCTACTGAAGCCTTCCCCAACTCCAGGGACTTCCGGCCGGGGACTCCGGGTGGCAGTATACACCGTGAAGTTGTTTGCGGCCTGCCAGTAAACCCAAAGCAGAAGAAGAAGAAGTGACGTCAGCGGCTTCATTTGCCTAATCCTCCCTCAGGGAACTTATTCCGGTGTGAACGCGATCTGTACTAAGTTCATGAGAACTAAAGAGTTCTCATGAACTAAGTTCTGATGAACCTTTGTGGGAAAAGTACTGCGGTGTGAAAGCGCCTATAGATGGTCACATAATTAATGTTAAATACTGTACAGTGACGAGCAGTATTGAATAGTGCAAAAAAACGTAGTGGCAGATACTTAATTGCATGTTATTATAGAACATTATTATTGTATAAATATATATATATTAGGATTGCTGACTTGTCTTCTCCGTCCATTCATCGATTATTGAGAGTTCTCCGAGTCATTTCCTCCCAGGGATCCTGTAAATGACTCTCACCACAAAGACTCACCGGTGTAGATGCTGGCTTTGGAGGCGGGGATCCCGAACTGCGACTCGATGAACTTTGGGATGAAGGTGATGAAGGCGGTGACGATGGCGCACTCTGCCGTGTAGGAGAGGCTGATGAAGAGGAAGGTGGTGTTGCTGAGGATCCTCAGGGCGGCTTTAGGGAGTTCTGCGGAGAAGACAGAGAACATTAAATCAGAAACAGATGCTGTCTCTCTGGGATCGATGCCCGTCTATCAGAGGCTCATATCTGTAACGGCTCCATTCCTGCACACGTGGTTTTTGTTTTAAATCCAGGAGCAATGCAGGCATTTGGGGAAACATGTTGCTATCCGAAGTTCCTCTGTTGTTAAAACACAAATGGTTACTGCTACTATGACTATGATGTGTTTCAGTTGAACGCCAGCAATACGTTTTGTTCTGAGAGGGTGTCAATTCTCCTGTTCTTTTTTAGGGCTTTTTATATAATTGTCATCAAATGTTGAGATACTGTCAATTGCTATTTCTGCAGCGATGTCTAATGAGCATGAAGCAGCGGCGCCTCGATAACCCGGAATAATACAGAATCAGAGAGGTAGTCATTTGTCAGATATCCATTTATGTTTGACCCTGGGTAGAGTAAAGTTAACACCATGTTTAAATGTCTCCAGGACCCAGACATGCATGTAAACCTGTCTGGTATCAATCACATTTTATTGACATTCCCCCAAGGCTTTATACACTTTGTCAGAAGGCGGAGTAACAGGGAGCATGGCGGAAAACTATTAACAAAATGTTGTGTGTGTGTGTGTGTGTGTGTGTGTGTGTGTGTGTGTGTGTGTGTGTGTGTGTGTGTGTGTGTGTGTGTGTGTGTGTGTGTGTGTGTGTGTGTGTGCATCATCACAAGGACGAACACTCCCACACCAGTGGTTTGACATGATGCAGAACGCCCTCTGTGGGTCATGTGATCGGGTCATGTGATCACACTGTAGGTACATTACTGTTGCCGGGCAGAAAGATGGAGTCTGATGTCACTTTCAGAGCAAATGCAGAATAATAATAAAAAACAGGATTATTGTTTCTTTAGTAACATCAAGGAGGCAGATGCATGCTTTCATGACACTTCATTATCCGTGACTATCTCCAAAATCATGCTGTCCACACCATAATCATACTTGCCAACCTTGAGACCTCAGAAATCGGGAGCATTTCCAAAACCACCGCGGGGGGGGGGTGCTAGTGGATCGCCGGAGCTGTATTAGATTAACATTAACATGCTTATTGTAGTTGTAAGTGCACTGCCTTGCGGCCTGTAGCACCATATGTGTGGGCTGGACCTGTATTTTACAGGAAAGGAGTGAGCAGAGGGTAGAATTGTCGATTCTTGTTCTGTTTGCTGTGACTATCTTCCTCACCCTCTCAGACTTTCAGTTGCGCGCGCTACGCTACCATGGAAACCAAACAATGGTGTAGCTGTATTAAAGTCCGAGTGGAAACAGTCCTGAGTAAATCTGATTTTGTCAGAAATCGGGAGAAATGCGGGAGAAATATGACCCGGGAGGAAACCGGGAGAGGGCAATGAAATCGGGAGTCTCCCGCGAAAATCGGGAGGGTTGGCAAGTATGACCATAATGTGTCTGATAACTGCCTTAAATAAACATTTACATATAAAATAACATTAATCCAGTGAGCATTTTGCCATTCTCCAGCCCAAATCATGTTTAAAAGTTACAACATACATTCTTTTTAAGACTTAAATTATGTTTGTCCTGTTTTTTAAGCGTCTACCCGTTTAAAAACAAGCCTTTAATGTCCTTGAGGACGCAGAAATCTCAGGTTTAGAGGAAGATACTGCAAGATGTCAGGAGCAGCTCTGACAGAATGAGGATCTCCTCGATCCACAGGGAGGAGAACCCCCACGTGCTGCAGACGTTTCAGCATTTAAAGAGGAGGTCTAGTTTGTTCTCTTGCGATATGACAGCCAAGAGATGTCCTTCAACCAAATCTAATATATATCAACTTAAAGAAACTAGAAACCTTTTGTGCACAAGACACAAAAATGCAAGTCATTTATCTGGTTTAGCATCTCAAGTAAATCAGACATTTGACATTTTGTCTTCTTTTTGTACTCATTTATGACAGGATTTGTCAATGAAGTCATCCTGTTAGTTTCTCGCCACCTTAAAGTGGACCTATCATGCTATATTTGAATAATATAGTGTAGGACCATACCTATATAAGGCATATTTATACTTTTTTTCTTCAAAATACCAAACAGATCATGCATTTTAGCCATGCCTCATTTCGCTCAATTTGACAATTTCTAGCTCTGTTTTAGCAAGGGCAGATTCAGTGAGAACAGCACCATCTACAGGCCTGGCATATGTACTACAGCGTCTCCAGCGCTTTAGAACGGCAATGGCCGTGGCTGTCTCCTCCTGATTGGTGGAGTTGGCCCAATAGCCGTAGCGCCACCGTCCTGACGTCAGGACAGTGTTCAAATCTGGATCAGTTTTTATCAGATCCGTTGCAGCCCCTTTTTAGAGATTTGGGTATGGAGGAAAATAGAGAGGGTTGTGTTTTCTGACACTTGGTGAGTTCCCTGGAACACCGGGGACACATATTCATGTAGAAAAGACGTACAAAAGTGCATTTTGCATGATAGGTCCCCTTTAAGGAACGTCATGTTGAAGCATTGAGTTTGAGAGGATTCTGAGACTACATCTGCAGAGTTTCTACATCTGTATCTAAATGTTACCTCCTGTCAGGTGAGTAATTGGGTTTTGAAATATGATTGTGAGCTGCAGTCCTTCATCTTAAACTCCTTGTAAGGAATTGCTTTCACACAGCGAGAGGTCTGCAGTGTTTCATAAAAACCAACATCTGACGTGCATTACTGCAAATATCCGGCGTTGGCAATTTTCACAGTTTGCTGATGATCTGAAGGGCAAACAAACGAGAAAACAGCCACTTCAGAGCAGCATATCTTTCACAAGAAGTGCTGAATCTGTGTGATGGACGAACAGAAGGACATGAGGTATATTACCTGTTTTTATATAATATAGTACACATACTTGCAGATAAAGCTGCCCCTGGCCTCGTTACTAGGGGTGGGAATCACCAGGCGATACGATACTATCGCGATACTTAAGCCACGATACGATAGTATTGCGATTCTACGATATGCTAAGTATTGCGATAGGATATATTGCGATATTGCAAATCACATGGCTCATATCCATGTCCGTCTTCCCTTCCTGGTTAAAACATGTATTTGCAATATGAATAGTCTATGTGAATAACACACTGTGTGTTCTTTGAACCTGAAAAGGAGATGTTTTTGTTACTTTCATTGCAATTGTTTACCTGTCTTAACTTCCTGTTTGATATAGACATGCTTTTAGCAGGAAGCTACTGTTCCCAGAGCAAAAACTTGACGGAGAAAAAGAACGGAGATAACGTACAGATATTAACGGAGATATCAACATTTAAATACGGCGATATCAAAAGATAAAGTTTACATTTCAGTGTTAGCAAGAGGCTCAAGGTGAGTGTTAACTGAACACTGTGCTTTGTGTCTTAATATACTGTATTATAACTTTGCTAACTATTTGAAGTTCACTTGTTTAACGGTATTCTAAAGTAATGCTCAAATGGATGTAGCTTAAATGTATTTGTTGTTTTGTGTAGCTCTTAAGGCCCCGACACACCAAGCTGACTCCAAAGAACACGTCCAGATGGACCCGACTGTTGTGTCGCCTCACGTCTCTGCGTCTTGGCCAACAGTCGCTCTGGAACACAGCGCAAAGACTCCAGCCGACGGCCACGAAGCATGTACGAACTGTGGCAATATCTCTCCTTACCAGCAGGCGGCGGTAGTGTGTATTCGTCATTCAAAAGAGGCAACAAGACAGACTGCGTGATACACCGAGAGAAGAAGAACAGACTGCGTGATATAAACCAACCTAAATAAATAGCGTGTGCGTTCCATGTTCACTCTACAGCGAGAAGCTCACGGGGCTTTCCCCAACCTGTGTCGAGAGCTGGAGCTAAATGAAAATCTCAGATTTGCCTTCTTAATCGTTTGTTTGGGTCCCTCTCTTCCGTTTCGCTTCTCATGCACTGATTCGCTAAGCTGAACAGCCAATCAGAGTGATTTCTTTGGCCGACGGCCTTTTACTGACAGCCTCCCGATTCAAGGGGCGGAAGGTGTCAGCAGGGCCGAAAAGACACGACGGGGTGGGACACACCAATCTGAGTAGGGCGACAGGACGCTCATCGACGGCCAGACATCTATCGACGGACGAAATCGGCTTGGTGTGTCCGGACCTTTACGTTGGTTTTGGAGTTTTCAATGAATTAGAAATCATCAGTCAAGTGTACGACCATCTTTCGGAAGGATATGCTACAGTTTATATCATAAAATATCGATACTTGGCGTCTGTGTATCGACACAATATCGATACAGCAAAGTATTCCCCCCACCCCTACTTGTTACTTCTGTATATTACCTGTTTTTATATAATATAGTGCACATACTTGCAGATGAGGCCTTGTTACTTCTGTATATGACTTTGTTTTCACAGCACTAGGTACACATACTTGCTTTAATACATCACACGTCCAAACACTGGAGATTCTGCAGAACTGGAGAGAGTTGGCATACATCGAGCTGCAGAAAGCACCCGTCTGAGTACACATTGTTTGAAGAGTGAGAGAGAGAGACCATGCATGCTGCAGTTTCTCTCTGCTGTGTGGAGAAGAGACAGAGTTCCCCTGAGAGCTCATTTAACAACAGAGGAAGAAGAGAGAGGGATAATCACAGGGTAATCCAGATTCCTGCTGAATCTGCCTGAAGACTGAAAGATAATCATCTCCACTCTTCATCTTTGAATGTCTTTTGTTCTAGTTGAGGAATGCATGGTTGATTCTGCAGAAAAAGGGACTTTTTAAGCTTTTATTTCAAGGTTTAAACTTGTATTTTGGGTTTCTACAAGAACGATAAGTCTTTTTTCCCCCATACTGATTTTATGGTTAATAAAAAGACATGCATTTTCTCAAAGTTTGCTATTAATCTGCTCGAGTAAATAAAGCCAAACGTCTCCACAGAGGCAGTGAATCATTAATCACCTGCATCACAAATCAATATCACAAAGAGCCTCTTGTTGGATAGCATGGAGATGAAAGGGATTACGGGCCATTGGTGCATCAACACATCACAGTTCCTTTATAGACACTACTTTACATTTATTAGAGGACTCTTTTCCTCTGCGTTGAGAGGAGACAGGTGATCATCGCTAATATTTGTAGTAAAAAAACTGCCATAAAATTATATATTATTAATATGTTTCCACTTTTTCACTGCGTCCTGAAAATAACTTCCTAAAATGTTAAAACTTTGTTTACATTTCTTACTGATCTTAAAGGTCACCTCTGAACACTTCAGAGACGTGTTCTGTATATATCTGAGACCTATAATATATTGATGAAAAACAGTGTAATAGGAGACCTTTAAGATATCATAAGATAACCCAATATTTACACTTAAAGGTGGGGTAGGTAAGTTTGAGAAACCGGCTCGAGATCGCTAGAATTTGAAAATACACAACCGGAGAAAATCTGCCACTTCCTCACAGAGCCCCTCCTCCAACACACACGAACGCGCACATGACCAATGAGGGCACGAGATAAGTTTGTGCACAGATGGAAGGCTGACAGGCAGGTAGGCCATCCAGTTATTTTAGCCGGGCCGGCTCAGATGATTGGTCGTGCTTTTTACAGTACTACAGCTTCCACAGATGACATTTATTTATGGATTTGTTGTCAAAGCACTTCAGATATTCATTGCTATCGGGATGTTAAGAGCATTCCATGGAATATAACAAAAAGTGTATCTCGAGCCGGTTTCTCAAACTTACCTACCCCACCTTTAAGTCTCAAAATGCAACTTAAAAAGATCGTCGTCCTCGTCTTATTCTGACATTTTTAACCCTCATTTTCTCCCGTATCTCCTAACAGAAAATATGCATTTCATTTTCCTAATGAATGCAATGAATGTCAACAGGAAGTGATGTAATCCTGTGGAGAAGATGCATCTTGTCTGAAGGAACATGAGATAATTAACCTCATTAACACAGGTAACACACACCTGTACTGAACACCAGCATATACTAGGGGACCTTTAAATACTTGAGACCTATAATATATTGATGACAAACTGTATAATAGGGGACCTTTACATTTATTAGAGGACTCTGTGTCTCTGCTTTGAGAGGAGACAGGTGATCATCGCTAATATTTGTTGAAGCCACTAAAGTAAAAAAACTGCCATAAAATGATATATTATTAATATGTTTCCACCTTTTCACTGCGGCCTGAAAATAACTTCCTAAAATGTTCATTATTTTTACATTTCTTACTGATCTTAAACAGTATTCGTGCATCAGCACATCACAGTTCCTTTATAGACACTTCCCATGTGGAAAAGCAAGGTGTTAAGTATCCCCTCCTCACCTTTAATGTCTTTCCCAAAGCCCATGGAGGAGTTGCCGTTCTGCTCCTTCTCCTTCGTCACCTCGTCGTCGCTGGAATCGTCCCCGGGAGAGTTCATCTTTTTCTTCTTCCTCTTCTTGTGGCGCGGCGGCAGCTTTTTGGGGAAAGCGAACATTGGGAAGATGACGAGGAGCATGGCGACGGAGCAGAGGAGGAATCCACTCCACCTGCACGAGGGAACAGACGGAGGTGTTAGAAGTCTCCTATCGTGAAAGAAATTAACAACTTTAATTAATCTTCAAAGGCGCTGGATTTCAAAAATATTCATTCTTTTACTGATTGATCCTTTTCTTTGAGCTTCACTAAGATGCCATGGTCGTGATAAGTTTAACCCCAAACCTCTGGGGTTAAGAATCCATTCAAAACGTCTAAGCATGTATTTATTGTAACTGTTAAAAAGCTCTCTCTTCAGTTTGAGTCCTGTGGAGACATTGCTCTCCATGTTGTTTGACAAACGATGAAAGAACCAGAAAGACATATCTTTGACCAGTTCATTTCAAGAATGTCCACCACATGGTAAACATCCTCATGATATCATATGTTTACCAGTTTCCGATGAAGCGCGGGTCGCTCTGGTCGATGTTCACGTTAGTTTTTGGATCGACGTAGAATCCGATGAGGATGCCTCCCAAAAGGTATCCAGCTGCAGGGCCCAGAGCGCCCATTACATACATGATGGCTGCAGGAGACACAGAGCAAACACTTTAATACAAATGCTCTTCAGAGAAGACTCTTTATTATTCCTCAAGAGAAAAGGCTGTTTTTGAGAAAATCCCCAAAAACCCTCTGGGGTTCAGAATCCACTCAGAACGTCTCCAAACGCAGCTAATGGACAGTGATCCTACCAAGTCAGATAGAAACCACACAAAGTAGTAGTTTTGACGTTGTATTCTAACGGTTTGTAATGTTTGCTTGTGTTGACTTTGCTTTTGTGTGTTGACGTGTTTGCAATCACTTGATATCACTTTTTAGAATATAAAAACGACCTGATACTTTACACACTTTTCTACTTTCATGCCATTGTGTCTTTCTGACCCGAGGACTCGCCTGCAGCCCACACACACCTTCACACACACACACCTTCACACACACACCTTCACACACACACCTTCACACACACCTTCACACACACACCTTCACACACACACACACACACCTTCACACACACATTCACACACACACCTTCACACACACATTCACACACACACCTTCACACACACCTTCACCACACACACTTCACACACACATTCA